ATGAATGTCACAGAGAGGAGGCAGGAAGTGAGAAAGCGTGGTCTATGTTACCTGTGTTTAAGGAAGGGTCACATAGCTAAGTCGTGTAACTCGGACATAAGGTGTGACGTTGATAATTGTAAGATTCGGCATAATCCATTATTACATATTGATGCTACTAACAAACATGTATTGAATTTTGCTAAGGATTGGAAATTCTCAAAGGTTTGTTTGGGTATCGTTCCAGTTAGACTATATGGCCCCAAAGGATGTCTGGAAACATACGCTCTTCTAGATAATGGTTCAGATACCTCTATTGTATGCGAAGAGTTAGTTAATCGGTTAGGTCTCAAAGGTAAGGAGACTTCAATAAAGGTGACGACTGTGAATGGAACTTCTACTTGTGAATGTCTGGAAGTAAATTTAGAGGTATTTACATTAGATGAGCGGGGTTCTATTAAGATCAACAAGGCCTATACGATCAAGAAACTTCCGATCGATTCGGCAGAACCTTTAACCGAACTCCAGCTGAGAAGGTGGAAACATTTAAAGGACATAACTCTACCGAGGTTGCAAAGTAATCTTGTAGGAATATTGATTGGGTGTGATGCTCCAGATGCATATTGTGTCCTTGAACAACGCCTGAGAGACAGGAAGCATCCGTTTGGTGTGCGTACTCATCTCGGTTGGATGATTTTAGGTCCTAGAGAAGCATCGAGGTCTTTACATCAAGTTCAGTGGTGTCATTGTTCTACTAATGATATTTTGCGAGATATAGAAAGATTATATAATCATGAGTTCGAGGATGCAGATGGGTTTCGTAATTAATATTCTGTCGAAGATAAATGAGCTCTAGAAATAGTTAATAGTTCCTTTAGACTGGAAGGTGGCCATTTCCAAGTTGGTCTACCCTGGAAGTATGACAAGCCAAAGCTACCGAATAATTTGGAACTAGCTGAACCTAGACTAATAATAATAATAATTTATTCTCAAATAACAAACATGTTACAAGAGACATGCCAATTTACAGGCAAGATCAAAATGTTAAGATTAGCAACATATTTCTTTTAAAACGGTATACAGTTACTGAAACATTTCACAAGATTCATTGTATTCTTGCGTTACGACAACCATCTTATGGATTGAGAAACGATTCATGGTACAGATGGGTTTTCATATAACAAGAATTGATGCGGTAAATGTACAAAGGTCTGGTTGATATTCGTCAGCTAATGATTTCACATGTTCTTGGGTAGGTTAACCAAGTCTACTGCAAATATCCAGACTAATATATGTGGATTGGAATAAGGTTCTGAAAAAAGAGGAATAAAGAAAACGGGACGAGGAGCAGAACAGAAAATATTCTTGTTCAAAGCCAAACAATGGCTTCTGACATACGTTTATGAATAAAACAAAGGTATGTTTACCCAAACATTTTTAATATCAGAACACTACACCTGCGCTTATGTAGGTTAATGAAGACAATTCAGTAGTGAGATAACTAATGAGAAGTTAGTCGAAAGAATTCCAAAAAGAACGGCTATCCACGCAACTTCATCAAAAAACATCAACCAAAACCATCATCAGAAGTGAAATCAAGCACAGGAACAATAACGCATCATCCTACCATACATCAAAGACATATCGGAACATACGGCACGACTACTGAAACCATTTGGAATAGGTGTGGCACACAAACCAACAGAATCACTTCAGTCAATCCTATGTAGACCAAAGGACAAAATGACAAACGAAGAAAAACCAAATATCATTTACAAAATAAATTGCTCAAACTGTGAAAAACACTACATAGGACAAAGTGGACGACCTCTTCATCTTCGTTCACACAAATGGCACGAAATGCTTGTTCGGAGGGATTTACCGACCTCTCTCAGGTACAAAAGCTCAGAAATACGAACTGACTGAGGCAGTACTGCAACTATCACCCCTGGGGTTTGATAAAATACTTTATGCTGGAGATTTGAAAACCCCTTCTCTAAATCTCAGCAATCAATGTACAACTCCCACTGATTGGTTCTAAGGACGAATTGGCGCAGCCATTAGAGGCTCTGGGCTAACTAAGCACGTATGCAGTGCCACTAGATGGACTAAGGAATGAAAGTTCTCAAACCTGGATTATTTGTTAACAAATTGTCAGCTCCTGGTCCGAGATGTTCAAGCCCATACACCAATCGGAAGTGGTGACCGTTGAACAGTCTTGTTTAACATGGTCATGAACGAAACACTCACTCAGGACGCAAATAAGCCCTATATATGCTACACTAGGGCAAATTATATGCGTATGGGAGAGACCCTCCTACATGCCCCATGGCCACGGGAGTGGTGGAAGCTGACAGAAGATGCTCACTGGCAAACAGTATTAGACATCATCCAAAATGCTGTCGTAGGCAATGTACCTCACTCAAACCACACACCAGGGAATAGAAGAACATGGGTTATGCGCGGCACTGAACGCTTACTACAGGCGAAGAGGAGAGCCTGGCACAAGTGGAAGGTCTCCTTGAAGGATTCTGATCGTAGTTCTTACTTGGCCTTGAGGAACAGATGCAATACCAAAGTTCAAAGTGACAGGAGACGCTTTCAGATTAAACTGGCTGCCAAAATAGAGGCAACCCGAAACATCTGTTTAGGTTCATGACGAAAAGAAAACCTACAAATCAGAGGTGAGGTTCTCTCAAAGGACCGAATGGAGAAGACCTCATCAACCTATAGATAGCTGAGATCTTCAACTCATACTTTACCGATCAGTTAAACCAAGCATCCACATGTTCGGAAAACTACGCAGGCACAGTGCCAGCTGACGGCTCATGGAATATCCGTATCACTCCTGACTTAGGAAACTAGAACCCTTCACCCAGGTAAGTCACCAGGTTGTAACAATATTAGACTCGTAGTCTTGAAAAAATGTGCAGAAGTCCTCTGTTCACAGATATGCGACCTGTTCAGGATTAGTAGACGAATAAATGAGGGATTAAATGGATAAGAATAAAATACTCCATGAAGCTCGGGTTGCGGTAAGGCAGGTCGTGTACATCAAATCTTCTCATCCAATATCTGATATATCTTCTTCACGAGCTAGTATAAACCAATTGATTTCTTCGCGCTCGATTCTTGTTCTTTCGGTACGGTTCCAGGTGTTCGGTAATGTCCAACGGATAGAGGTCTAGCCACTCGATTGTCTAATTCTAGTCAGTTGGCAGTTGATTGTGATTTTGTATGTCTCGGAATTTGAATGAATACGTTTGTTTCAGGGCACCAGTGTTTCTGGATACCAGCAGCTGTCACATTGCCAGACAGTTGGTCTTCCTGCTTGGACCGAAAAATACCGGTGCACGTAATATTTCTCGACTTTGTAAAAGACTTCGACACAGCACCCCACTCACGCCTAATCGCAAAGGTTGTTGAAATGAGCTTCACTGACTCACTCGTATCTTGTCTCATAAACTACCTTGAGAATAGAAAGTTTCGTGGCAAGGTAAACAGAGTGCACATGAGCTGGCAAGTATCCGCATTGGGAGTTTCACAGTGGACCATCTTGAGTCCACTTCTCTTTCTGATATTTAAAACGATTTTTTCGGATCAATTAACTCACCGGCAGTGATCTACGCAGACAAAGCCAAGATCTGGAGGTCCATTAGAAGTTATGAGGATTCGGCTGAGCTTCAAAAGGACCTTATATCTATTGAGGAATGGGCAGTGAAAAACGGTTTAAAGCTCAACCAACTGCAGTGTCACATTATGTATATTCTGCCCCACATGACACGATTTACACCTTCAATGGAGGTCCGCTCCCTAATGTCTCCTCAGAGCGCGATCTCGGTTTAATAACCACAGAAAGCCTCCGCCCAAACCTGGAGGTCCACAACGTCATCGAACCCCCTCTGCTTAAAAGAGACATAAATCTCTTGGATCGAGTGCAGAGAAGAGCAACGAAATGGGTAATAGGTTTAAAGAATAAAACTTACGAAGATAGAATCCAGCACTTCGGATTATTCTCCTAGAGTCACAGGCGAATAAGAGGTGATATGATTATGGCGTACGAAATATTGAGCACGTCAAACTATCCCAACGTGAGCATCTTACCGAAGCATCACCACCACTCACCTCGAGGCAATCTTCGAAAAATGGCGCGTCAAAGGGCAAATACTCGGATTCGTTCACAGTTTTTCTCATTGAGAGTCGTTGCAACTTGGAATGCTCTCCCAGACGAGGTGACTACATCAGCTTCAGTGGACAGCTTTAAGAAGAAACTTGATAAATAGGTATTCATAAATGGATTATCATCTCCCTCTTGGATTATTTGTGCCTGATTCATGTCTTGAGACATTCTAGTTGTTATTTTGCTATCTCCTCAGATCACAAACTTAATCTATCCTGCCTAGTATATTTGTTTTCTCTCCCTTGTTTACACTACGGTCCTCTCTCACAATCTTCACTACCAATTAATAAACTAAATTATCGATTGATTTACTTAGTTCTGAAATCTTATTCTGACTAGCATTAGAATTTTATCGTTATTACTCTCCACATTGCAACTAACTGATCTATGGTCAGGTAACGTGATTCTTGCTGGTATCCAGAAACACTCAAATCCCAAGACATACAAAATCACAATCAACTACCAACTGACTAGAATTAGACAATAGAGTGGCTAGACCTCTATCCATTGGGCATTACCGAACACCTGGAACCTTACCGAAAGAACAAGAATCGAGCGCGAAGAAATCAATTGGTTTATACTAGCTCGTGAAAAAGATATTGGATTTTGGATAAAGGGATCTCTCTGTATTATATATGTTGCCCAGGTTTATATGAACTATTAGTAGCCGTTCCCTTGAGACGGTATCTGGGTGCAGTTCTGCTTCTTTGAGCATCTGTATGACTGACCGATTTCTCTTGGTGAATGGTACTGTCATTTTCATATATTTGAAATGAAGTTATCTGTGTCTTAGTCGGATGCGTTTCAATCCACCAAAATAATTAAGCCTTCAAGGTTATACATTTTTCGGTATGTACGGATTATCTAAGCGAGGTTTGTTATGCTTCGATGTACTTTGCTTTGAGATAGATTGTATTTGAATTGAAAAATCTGCTTCATAACTAACTGCATCTAATTTTGTACATGGGCCAGCTTTTTATCTTTGAATTCTTTAATTCAAACTAGCAACAGAGAGAACCCAACTCTTCTGTCCAAACTGACTTCATTTGCTGTTAAATCAACCTTAGTTCTCTGAGTTTGAATTGAATTAATTCAACATTTCTGTTGGTTACGCGGATTTCACGAGACTGACCTCAACTTTTAATGTTCTGTTTTATAATATGTGAAATTCAGACTTACAAGTACTATTATGAAATATTAGGATTTTGGCTGGTGGCATTCTTTCGTTTGCTGATGATTAAAGCATGTAGTTGTTGGTCTATCGTTAGCTATTTCAAACCACGTCCTCTGTTTTGACTTATTTTTATTATCACTGAACCTTATGCCGTAAACTATCCTTAATAAACTCAATAACCGATACCATTACTTAGGTTATCCGTTTTCGTTGTATATTCATAGCATAACCTTGTCATAGCATTGAGATGTGCAATTGCTGACGCACCTAATGGTCATTTACCACATTTTTGATAATGAACTGCGATTTCAGTTTTGCTTTATCTTGTTACTTTCTTGTTCTCGTTCTTTGCTCTCTGTTTCGATTACAGTGTTCATATTTGAATATTTTCAAGAGTAATGCTTTCTTTGTGCTTACATTAATCCGAATTCACTATTTTTGCCCAGAACTGTTTCACTGGTTTTTATGAATTATAGTCTCAATATACTGAGTTTCACCTATCAGTCGTCTGAATGATATTTCCGATTACTAATCTTTTTTGATTATCGCTTGTACTTCTACTGCCTCTATTACTGTAGGGTTTGAATTTACAATTTGATCTGTGTGCTGGTGTGATATGTCGACTTGAACTGATGTGCGTACGTACGAAGTTCTACGTTGTAGCTGACTGACTGACTTGTGAACGCCTCAGATAATAGGCTCTTCTGAAACTTCGTGAGATTCCTAGCTAACTACTTTGCAATTGTGCTAATTAATACTTTAGTGAGGGGACTTATTTTTCAGTTTAGCCGGTAATGAGTCTTTAGTTTCATCCGTTTATTTGTCACTGACAGTGTATTGTCCTTTTCTACGAATAAATACAATCAAAGTCATTCAGTCCTGACTTCCAACTGTAATGGTTTGCGTCTAGCCACAAGGTACGTTATGTAATAGGGAAACGCGCAGAGTAATGTAATGCTTGAAAATTGAGCGAGAGAAAAGCTAATATTACGACCCAACAATCGCAGAAAGTACACTTACGTTTGCTGTAGCTAGGTTTTTTTATGGGTATGAGTGCGGATGTTACTCTCTGGCTGCCCACATCGTGGAAGGGTCCTAGTTGTCAAAAGAGGCATCGGCCTCATGACTTCCGAAGAAACTCGGCTTTCATCATGAGACGTTATAACTCTTCTAAATGAAGACCTTCTGACTGTCAGAGCAAAGTTTATATGGTTTGAATTATTTTTTCTTGTTAGCGTTTTTTTAGCGAGTTAATTTTATGGAACGCGGTCGCCAACCCCAATCCCAACCCTCCTTTATCTTGGCCCTAAAGGGTCTACATGATCTACGAATTCCGACACAGGCCTGAGATTAAAACAGTCTGGAAATCGGAAATAAAAGTAGAAAACATAAAGTTTTGAAGCTTATGCACCAGCACTATTGCAATTTTTTTGCTTTTTGAATGAATTCCTCACAGTATTTGCTACTTATAATTTTTGATTACTGTTACTTATCGTTGCTTTGTCTACTGCCAAATTAAAAATTTTTCAACTTAAAACTGGTTTGGTGTTTAATATCCAGAACCGATACACGTTTATACCGAACTCAATGATGGAAATATAACGTGTGGACGAACCAACTAGATTTCATTGCGACATTAAATCTCACGTCATAGCTGATGTTGATTCGTGATAAAACCATCACTAACTTATATACTTAAGTTCATTACTAGTCTTGAAACTGTCTATTAGTTCTAATAACATTTTTATCATTAAATCATTTCATAACCAAACAATAATTAGTTATAACTGGCTGATTTGTTCTCGAGGAATTCACCACTAAGCTTACGTCCTTGCAATTTCCTTATACTTATATCCGAGTTTTCATAAATATTTTTATCATCCATCTCTTCTTGTAACTAGAATAAAGGTGAATTTGTTTTTGTCTCTTCTTTCTGCTTTTATCTAATGGTTTCTCATTTTAAAGTATGGTAGTAAGCAGTGCGTTATTTTAGTCACTTCAGAAACTCTAAGCGCTTTAAGCTTTGCGAAGTACGTTTATTTCCCGAACCTCAAGTACAATGTTTTCATCGCTCACTTACAGTCACTCACTTGATGAACTTATGACAGCATGTTTTCTAACCCTTCTAGCCTTTCTCAATCCTTATTCACTATTTTTCAAGAAAGCACATTTTGGTGGACATTTGTAAAGCATATCTCATTCATCTTTTGTCAATTGAGGTATGGCAACTTGAACTTGTGTACACATGTGCTACGTTTTACGTGGAACGTAACTGACTAAAATCAACAAAGATACTACTCTATTTTCTTATCCCCATCTGGTTACTGACCAAGACCTTCTTTCCATAAATTCAACTTTTATGCCTCTTTGTCATACATCAGTTACTGAGTAAAATTTCTAATTCGTCGCATTTCTTCTAGCATTTTAGCTTTATTAAGGATGAGGTTAATAATGAAGTCATGACAGTTACTGAATTGCATCGTGGTTTGGAGGAGAAGTTCGATCTGTTTTGTTCTGCCACAACATTTGAAAGCATATTAGCATGCTTCTATGAACTGTGTGATGGTGCTGTCTCCAAGCCTACGAAACAATCTTGGAATATATTTCATGAGCTGAGTGTTAACCTTAAATCATACTGGAAGGCTGCTGGATTGTTTTCAAAATTGGAAAAACGTGTTAAAATGAAGCAGTATCATCATCAGACTTTATGTAGAGATGTGAATGTGAGTCTGTGTTTGTTGTCTACATTGATATATTGCCCGTAATGAAAGTATAACTGGTTTCAAAATGCTTATGTTTTATTCTTACGAAATTAAAATAGGTGCTAATAATTTAGATATTTTTGAAAACATTTGACCTTTTTGAAGTATTTATCGTAATACACTAGTCATATGCTAGTTCAATATGTTAAACGCGACTGTTGGTTTTTAGTTCTTGAAAACTTTAGAAAGATTGGGTCTTGTCATTCAGCAACTGAATTACAGCTTCGTTTACCTATACATGATTATTTTCAGGTTTTGAAAATTACGATTCCCTTTCAACAACTTAGCAGCAATATTTTACGAAGCATACATATTGTATAAATTTGTGAATTTCATTTATTTAATAGGATAAGGACTAATCATTTCGTTGAAAAGTTAATTTTAATTATTCTTGTTGCACGATATATCATAAGGACTATTAATTTAGTTATCGTGACTGAATATATTCTATTGCTATATAGTTTTTTAATCAGTTTGGTGTCATAGTTCTCAAAAAGTAGTTTCCATTTCACAGTAGTAATCTTCGGTGAATATAAGTTATGACCATTATAAGCACAATTTTTTCGAATGATGAACGGAAACGTGTTGAAAAGTTCAATCGTATAAAAATGTTAAACCCCTACTTATGTAGCATTTATTTTCGCTCAAACGTTTCACAAACTTATTTCGCTATCTGATGTATTCAATGTCGATCGTAATTTATGGAGGTTGCACCTATAACCTTACCTATAAACTTATCTTTAGCATATAATATTTCAAAAACAAATCAACAGGAAACCCTGTGTTTTAGTATATAAGTAATTTTAAAACAGTCCTTGAAAACTTTTCAATTGATCAACTAATCAGTTTTTTTTTCAATTAGAAATCTGGTTACTATTGTATAATTGTGGGACTAGATTCTATCTGTTCTTTTCTTTTTCGAAAACAGAAAGTTCTCACTATGTCTAAACCATTCTTTTTGATGTTAGCCTGTAGACTGGTTATCTCACCGCTATATATATATATATGATGTAACACCTTGAGTTGTTATATCCTCATTCTTACATAGTATTTGTCATTGCTGTTTTGACTTATATCTGTCCGTAAAGCTCTCGTTGTTCTGTAAGCTTATTTGCGATGTATCAACAAAATTACTTATACATAGTTGTATAGTTAGTCTTGTTGAGTAAATGAAGAAGTATTTGTTGTTCCACGAATTATTATCATTGATCTTATTTATAATAATTAATGGCTTAGGTGCTTGTCATTGGTTGTGGACCATGTGGTATGAGATGTGCAATTGAATTAGCATTACTTGGTGCTCGAGTTATCATTATCGAAAAACGTCACACATTTTCAAGGTGAGTTATTGAATTTAATTTTCTTTAAAAGCCTTTTCGTATTTCAATACTTTCAAATATACTTTTCGATTTTGTTTACACATTGCAATTAGCTTTTACGATGGTTAAGAAAATATATCAAGTTTATTTTAATTTTGGGATATTCAGACTGAAACTTGTGATGTTTTGCTGTACATAATGAAACTTCATTTGGAGTTATCATAATTACCAGTGATAGAATTTTTATCGTAAAACAACAGTTGTATTTCATTGGTATTAATCTTCGATGTGAAGATCCCAGATTTCAGTTTTATATAAAGGTGACTTCATATAAGTAGACTAATTCAGAGCATTACCTTATAAAATATAGATTTGTGCTGTGATAAACACTACTCACTTACACTACCTTACCATGTTTTTGTGTTAGCCCTATACAGTTTAACTTTCGACGTGTTTATACTTTCTGACATAGTTTATTCATAGAGTTCAAGTCGTATGTAATTAGTGTTTCAAAACGCATTACTCATTCAGTTATACTGAATCATTTAATAATAATAATAATAATAATAATAATAATAATTATTATTATTATTATTATTATTATTATTATTATTTCATTTCTAGTCATTATTGTTAAGGATTTCATATTCCTAAGGTATACTGACACTAAATTTGGCTACTGAAACCAAAGTAGGTCGGAGTCTCAGTACATATTTCAAAACAGTATTATCTCTCGGATGCAAGTGACAAGTCTCAATAATAAACACAGCAATAAACACTGAAAGTTTAAGATTGAAAGTTAAAAATTTAGTGTCAGAATTATGGATATATGTTATCACTCAAGTTTAATATAAAATCTACGATTTAGGATGGCAGTTAGAATTGAGGTCTAGTGTTAGGATGTAAATTTTAGCATAGAATATTAGAGTATAAACCCTAACCCTGAATCGCAACCCTAAATTCTACATCCTAACCCTACCTGATAAATTATGACCGTAAATTGCGAACCCAAATTCTAAATATTGAAGTTGTTTCATGACTCTTAAGCCTCAACTCTAGTTCTAATGCTATAAACTACTCCAATGAGGCTTTATCCGTAATTGGTCCCGGTTTATACGTCTACTTTACCACATAAGACCTAGGTTCAAGCGGTCCTGCTTATCGCCTTCAGTTACATAAATTAACCACTTCTTTTGTAGTCAGTCAGTCAGCAACAACGTAGAACTTTGTAAGGTCGTATTTCAGATCAAGTTACCATACCACGTTCGCACAGAGATGCAATTGTCAATTCAAATCCCATAGTCGTAGAGGTAGTACAAGTACAAGCAGTAATCAGAAAGGTTAGGGTTCGAAGATATTGTTCAAGGAGCATAATCCAGTAAAATAAATTTTGTGAAGAGAAAGATGAAGGTCATGAGGAATTCAGATTAGAATTTGAGAGAAAACAAACAATGTATGCACCAGCGCCATTCCAAACGATTTTGAGCCATGTCATTCAAGGTCTCTAACCACTGGTTACTAATGTCTCGCGGACCCAAAGGCGGTAGTCTACACCTATTAATGTGGCTCAGTCCAATTGTCGATGACCTTATGAACTGGTTCCATGTTTTGATCTGGTCGTCCCTAGCTTTCTTCTAACTTACTATTACACCACTAAACATAACTCGTCAGGGCAGTTGGTGGTTAGGCATACGTAACACATGCCCCAACCATCTCAGTTGAGGAGGATTCAATACTTCATCAATCGACTAGCCATCCTTACCTATTACTCGTTTCCTAACATCAGCATTGCTTACTAGATTGTCCGAGGATGTACTAGCAATGCTTCGAAGTCACTTATGATCGAATACTAACAACCTACTAATATCCTCTACTCTTAATGGCCATGTTTAACATCTGTAGAGTAAGGAGGAGCAAACTGCTGGACAATAAACCCGTCCTTTGGTTGGTAGACGGATATTTTATCTACGCCATTAGTGACGCAAGTTGGCAAAAGCTAATCGAGCCTTCTGTATCCGTATTGAGATTTCGTCAGTCACCAGGCCATCAGTACTGATACAACTCCCCAGATAAGTGAAGCGATCAACACACTCAACTGCTTCACTCCCTATCACTAGTTCAGGTTTATATTTCTCTTCTATGTCGACCATGTATGCGCGTCCCAATCACAAAAGAAACGTGTCTGGACAGTAAATAAGATAGCCTATTATGTCAGTAAAAACTCTCAACTCTTAGGCAGATTTAAAGTTGTTTACATATTTGTTTTTTCCAGTAGTTTTGTCATATTTAGCAAAATATTTTATATCAGCTGTTTTGAAAAATTCTTTTATCTTCCTGGAATGCTTATAGCCTTTTTGACACATTCACATTTAATCAGTGCCAAGGGAAAGAATTTCAGTTCTCTTCTCGATCTTACGCATCTTTTTTATTCTCTTTATTTTATGCATTAGGATATATTCACTGATGAAAAATTCAATAATATTAGTTTCCTAATCAATATCCACTTTCTAGACTACAAGATTAATCATACCTTTTTACTATCAGTTTGTACAGTTGTACTTTTGAAAACTACTTAGTTGTCTAGTAAGTAGTAGGTGGTTGCTTTGAGGCGTGAACGTCGATATTATTGACTGTCATTATAAAATATATTATCTATAATATTACATCTCTAAATAAATATAGGTATATACATAAATACTTACATAATAGAAGTCCGTTGAAGTAGTAGTAGTAGTAGGCATTGTATATTCGCTTCTTTCTTACAACTTATATGTATACGCATCATGTTAATGTGTGTAGTTGTGAAATGTGTGTATATATGTGCCCGGATAAAATGTCTTCAAATCTATTTACTAATTAGATTGAAGAGTTGAAAATAATAAATTGACAGATATTCGCACAATACTACAAACTATCTAAGAGGAACAATATGTAATTATATGTATGTGTTGTCGAAATTTTGATTTTCTAATTTTCCATTCCCTTCCAACTAATTAATATTTTGTTTGTTAGTCTACATCCTTTTTTTTTTCTTAATTGTATTCACCTAAAAAGCCTGATTCACCAAAGACAATGAAAAAAGGTATCATGTTAAATAGATTTTAAGAAGTTAAATTTTCTTTCTGACTAAAATAAATATACCTTGTGTTTCAGTCAGTAAATGATAGAATTGATTAGTTATTTTAGATAATGGGTATAAGAAGATTAGTTTAATATGAACATTTACGGTAGAACACAGTCTATCTCGTCCTAATCAATCTTCCTTGACCATAACTCATAATCTTCTGTTCATCCGATAAATCTATGAATTGGCCTTTTATCGGTTTTCTCTATTTTTTCACCTTGGGTCTCCTTAATCTGTATTAATTTTGTATAAAATCTTTTGAAGAAGATTCTCGTCGATTCTTGCTGACAATAGCTGTCACCTTGACATGGTGGCTTATCAACTTCGTCATAATCAAATCCTCCCTAAACCTCTTAATAACTCTCTTTTCCACGACTAACCTTCCATGCATAGCTTTATCACCTCGCGCCGCTAATGATAACGATTCGAATATACGAAATGTTATATCTGGTCTCTTGAAAGCGCGCTCTAAACTACGTGTTGGAGCTTTTGATGTTCGGTCTTTGTGTTAGTTATTTCCTAACTAATTGTAGTTATGCTATAACTAACCAATCAAATTGTGGTTTAAGCGTTCACCACGTGATCTGCCTGACGTATCCGTAAAATATCTTTGTTGTAAATGACCTACTAATTGAAGGACATTATTATATTATATATATTATTATTATATTGATTATTCATTTCCATAAGACACGCTATACTGGTCGGTATGCTTGATCGTTTCACTTGGTAACTGTTGATGTGGTGTTTGAATGAACTAGTAACTTCTTGTTGTTGTGGAATGCTTGATTTCGAATTCTGAATACAATACATTCGTTTGTGCAGATCTTTAATTCTTGATTCATATACTTCTAAGCATCATAGAAACAGATAAAGTTTAAAACCAAATTGGTCTTGTTTTGACTATTGCTTTCCCACAGACTCTGTGCTCGCCAATATTGCGTTTACAGTTCTAGAAGTACATCTGTAGGACAAATTAAATCCTACACCTTGTGCTATAAAGAACAACAGACTTTGTTCGCAAGGGCTCTAAAATCTCGTGCCATTACCGTATGTTGCGTTTTCGAAACGTGCATACGAAATCCGAGTACAGTCGTTTATTTAACCTCTCCTTGTCACTATAATGAACTATAGCGATTAACCCTTCGTGTATTTGGAGACTCCACTGCTACTCCCCGTAGCCTTGCTGATGTAGGTAAAGCATAAAGTTCAAGAAAACAATAGGCTATCCGTGACTGGATGCAGTAGACACTCGCCTGTGTGCTGTCCGAATAAGGTTGCGGAAACAGCAGTGATATCTGCTAGTAAGGTTAACAATAAGGCTAGGATGAAGCCGTGGATTTCAGTCGCATCCACCAAACTGGTGGATGCTCGAAAACTCATCCCACCTGGCTCTGAGGGCGACGAGGAGCGGAGTCAGCTTAGGCGTAGACTGATAAAAAGCCTGCGTGACGACCGTGAACAGTGGTGGGTGGAGAAAGCAAAAGCGGCAGCGATATGCAACACTAGAAAACGCTTCCGCCTTATCAAGGAAACTGGTATTAGGAATCCTAGTGTAAGTGAGACTATCTCGGAAAATGATGGGATTATTATTTATTCTCAATCCAGGAGACTGGATCGATGGGCAGAACACTTTAGGGATCAGTCCAACTGGCCTCGAGCCACTCTTCGGTTGCCCACGATCTCCAGTCATCCTGAATGGCAAATCGACCTAAGTCCCCCTAGTCTTTACGAAGTTGAGAAAGCGTTAGGAAATCTGAAGCGAAGGCGAGCTGCAGGTTCTGATAGACTAACCCCTGAGATATTTAAGGATGGTGCTCCAGTTTTAGCAACTAGGTTGACTGAGATTTTAGGTAGAATCTGGGAACTGGATGTAATCCCATCCGACTGGTCTCAA